GGTAAAACTCACACTGTGGTTATTTCAAGAATAACAAAGCTATAGAATCTGGATAAAAGACTGCATTTCACTTTACATACTGTCTTTCAATGCACAGACTACCATATTGTTCATCTTACTATATTTCACGCTATGGCTTCCATTCCAAATTTTCTGTAGCACAAGCTAAACTGCAAAACATCCATTCAAACTCCACTGTCACAGAAAATGGCTTTGGAAATTTGTAAAGACAAGAGATTCCCATTAGTTTGTCAGCATCAGGATGGTTTATACTGGCCTGGTTCCCTGCTGCAGCCCCAGAGCATAAGATCAGCACCTGGCCCACAGCAGACATCTCATACATATCAGGAACTGTGCTAAGTGCTTTGCATTTGTCACTCATTTCACCCTCCAGCAGGCACAGTTAGCTCTGAGAGGACTGGTTTCAAGACCCCTGGGGAAACCTAAATCCTTGGATGTGCAAGTCCCTTATATAAAATAATACTGTATTTGAATATAACCTATGTTCATACTTTTGTGTACTTCAAACCATCTCTAGATTATTTATATTAGCACATTACAAAAATATGTAAACAGCTGTTATACTGTATTGTGTATGGAATGAAAAGAAAAAAATCTAAGGGCCGGGTATTTAGCTCAGTGATTCCACCTTGGCAAGCACAAGGTCCTGAGTTCGATCCCCGGTACCAAAAAAAGGAAAAAAAGAAAAAAGAAAAAGAATCTATACATATTTAACGCAGATGCAATTTTTACAGTGAATATTTTCTACGTGCAGTTGCTTGAATCTGCAGGCACTGAACCCGTAGATATGAAGGGCCAGCTGTACTCTGACCCTCATTTTGCAAATGAGAAAACTAAAACACAGAGCAGAGAAGGAACCTGAATGGACCTCAAAACAGGGAAGCTGTGGAATTGAGAAATCACTCCCAGATCTAAGAGTTCACAACTCTGTTTTCTAGTTTTTTGCATATCTTTATCACTTCTTTCTTAAATGACAAGGTACAGGCTTTTGTAAGCTGGATGGATCACATCTATAAAAAAAATCAATATGAATGGATTAGCCACTGTTACTTAATAACTCCTGAGGGACTAGGTAACCAGGAGTCATATTCACTAAGCTGCAGGAGAGCAAAGCTTAAAACATCATCCAAAGTCTGAATTGCTCACATAAAATAAATCCTTTGCTCTGTAATAAAGGCGGACCTTCCAGAGAGTAAGAGGTAAGCAGCCTGGAAACCAGAGAGACAGGATAGATCTTGTATTGGCTCTAACAGGGAAAGCATAAAAATTTAAAGTTAAGGTCAGTTACTATTTTTTCTAAGTCATGTTTATTTTTTATTATTGCTTGACTCTTTAAGACTTGTAGTACTATGTGTAAGTATTTACAGGAGATGACACCAGGTATTTTGGTTACCAAAAGGAAAATTCCAAATAGCATAGGAACTTTTAAAACATTAAGTGCTTCCAATATCCAAATATGTTGCATAAACTTATTAAAAGGAGTTTATAAAGATTATTTTATTAATATTTTTAAACTTCGGGTTTTCTTTTTCTTGAGACTGGCCTGGAACCCACTAAACCCAGTTTGACTAGCCTCAAACTGTCTCTCCTCCTGCCTCAGTCTCCCAAATGCTGGATTTACAGGTATGGACTACCATGCCCAGCTGACAAGGATTTTTTTGGGGGGGTACCAGGGATCAAACTCAGGACCTTGTGCTTATGAGGCAGGTGTGGCGCCATTGAGCTAAATTCCTGGCCCCTGACAAGGATGTTTTTAAAATCTAACTCACAAAGTCTGGCTTCACAATAGTTTCCAATTGCAACAGAAACACTGATCCCACGAAACTTAAGTTGCTTAGCTAAACATCTCAGAATTTCAAAATCTCTGAGCTTATGCTAGGTCAACAAATATCAGGTCTCTGAAATTCCAAGTATTCACTTGCTATTTTCCACGGTGATTTGTTCATTAAGTATAAATACCAGGCAAGTAACAGCAATAAATTAAACCCCAAAGGTAGTATATATTTATAAAGCTAATGAATAATTTAGCACATATGTGTGTATGTGCACATATCAAACATCTACATTTTAGATGTATCTTCTAAGCATATTAACTCTCCAAAAAGAGCTCTAAGCTAACCATATACTAGGGGTGGGGGGATAATTTACTTCATTTTGAAGTGATTATCTGCCAAGAATAGAATCTGAGAGAATTCTTTAAGCATTAATTTGCCCTTAGGGGTAGATATTCTCAGATTACTAAAGAGAATTCAAGTGAGAATTTTGGGAAGCCCATCTAAGCTCAAGTAAGAAGTCAAAATGCAGCTTCTAAAAAGTCACTGAAGGGCCGGGGATTTAGCTCAGTGGTTCGGTGGCGTGCCTTGCAAGCACAAGGACCCGAGTTCAGTCGCTGGTACCAAAAAAAAAAAAAAAAGTCATTGAAATCCAAAAATCAAAATTTTTCAAAAAATTAAATTCTTAATTGAGCATGAAAATGCAGTATATTCTAAGGAAAAAATATAGACTGTACTTCCTAAATAGAATTAACTATGAAAATAATACTTGGACTGGGGATTTAGCTCAGTGACATCACACCTGCCTCACAAATGCAAGGTCCTGAGTTCAATTCCTGGTACCAAAAAAGAAAATAATACTTGTGGCAAAATGCATGTAATCAAGAGAGTGGTATTAAAAAGAAATACCTATTTGTAAACAATTTATTCTCAACTAGGATGAAAAAAGAGGGAGGCTACTACAGGACAGCACCTAAAATAAACATGCCAATAAATAAAAAGCAAGTGATTCAGAGTTATAAGTAGGTAAGCTAAAAAGAAAATTCCAAATATCCTGAGGGCTATTTCCACTAGTTAGCTATCCCAAGGCTGGGAAGTATCACAACTCTACCTACAGCAAGTAAACAACATAGAGAGCCACCACAGCCACCTTACATTTCTCCTAGAAGCCAGTATCTCCCCTCCATGCCTTGCCTTCAGAGTAACAACTCCCTGCACCCAGAAGTATGTATAATAGCAGGAAATGGAAGAGTACTGTTTGAGGAGGTCAAATGACAGCTGCCATCCTGCAGCCTCATCACACACTGAGGAGAGTATCACCATGGTTGGGATTCTTTTTTCTTTTGTTTTGGTGGTACTCAGGACCGGAACCAGGGCCTTTGCACTGAGCTACATACCCAACCCTATTATTTTTTGAGGCAGAGTCTTGCTAGATTGAACAGTCTGGGTTTGAACCTGTGATTCTCCTGCCTCAGCCTCCCAGAGTGCTGGGATTCTAGGTGTATATCACAAGACCCAGCTGTAGGTCCACATTTTATTAACTGTTGGGCCTGAGCCAGTCACAACCTCTCCAAGTCTTCCATTTTTTGTAAAGTGGGGATAATAAAAGCCATGTTTTATAGGGTTTTCTGTGAGGATTAGAGGCAGTTATCTCAGTACCCAACAAACTCTGATATACAGGTATTATAAATGTTGACGGTTATTGCTAGAAACAGAATTCCAAGTGTCTTTTGTCTATTTTATTCATATACAGAAAACAACTTTTGTGATTTACTGTCTCCTCCATAAATTAATTTTGTGTTGCTTTAAGTAACGCTGAAAAACAGGAAGAGATGACAGGGATATTAACCTTTCACTTGTAGGACTAGATAAGGTTATTTCCTATATATTTCTCCTACTTCACTAACATCTTAAACTTGGATAGAAAATAATGCTGAGTGAAATTACAGGAGGCCATTATTTTGTCTAAGCTCCTATACTAGGCTCCAACAGATCAGGCTGAAAATAAAAATAGATTCGTTCATGCTAAAGTTCCACAGCACCAACTGAAACCTGTTTATCTGCTCTTTGAACAAAATCAAGATTAGAAAGATAAAAGCTAAATCTCCTAAACAGATGAGTTTCAATTGGCACAATAATGAAGTACCTTCTGCCTTAATCCTTACACAAAAATATAACCCAAAGTAACTTGATGTTAACCAATCATATGGGGGCAGGCAGGGTCTTGCTATGCAGTTCAGGCTGGCTCTGAACTCACTGTGTAACCCAAGCTGGCCTTGAACTCATGGAGATCCTCCTGCCTCAGACTCCCAAGTGCTAGGATTACAGGCATGCACCACTGTGCCCAGCACCCAGTCATTTTTCTATTGTTCTGTCTCCCTGTGCCCACCCTACAAAGAAATTTTAAAATGACCACTATGCTTTTGTTTCTACATCCTTCAGCCCTTTTTATTTGGTCTATAAATCAACCTCCTCTGCCCATTAGAGTACTCTATTTCATGGAATGAAGTGCTGCCCAACTCCAGAATCATAAATAAAACCAACTAAGAGTGTCGTCATCTTTTTGTCTTTTGATAATGGTAAGCCATAGTATTATCCTCACATCTTAGGTTGTCCAAAATAGACAATTTTCTGGATATAAAGAAAAAGAGTATCAACATAATCTATCCAAATGATAAGAACAAAAATAAACTTCCACAAAGTCTAAATTCAGCCAAGCAGGTACTTTCATTTAAATGGATTTGCCTATTCTCTTCATCGTATGAGGTGGGGGTGGGGGGAACATTCTGCAAGACGTGCAAATCTAGAAACCTAAATTTTAAAAGCAAGACCCTTTGGAACACATCTTACAGCCAGGACACAGTCACTTTAAACCTTTTTATTTTCTACATTTACACGTTTACACTGAAAACCTCTAATGTCACAAAGGATCCTGGCTCACCTTATGAATTAACAAAAGTTGTGCTTCCTGAGCTGAACTGCGGCAGGAAACACTAATGATATCTTTCAGAAATATTTCTATACTTAAATCATTTTCTGTCTAATCCTTAATCAGACTATAACACTAACTACAATTCACTATTTTCAAAAACAAGCCAGTTAACCAAGAATTAATGATTTCTTAGAAAGCCCTGAAATTAGACCAAGTCCAGTGGAGGCCGTTTTCATTCCTAAAAAGTGATGTACATCTGCAAATACCAAACCTACCCAGATTTGCTGTCATGGATTGCAGATCTGCTATTAACCCTGGAAGCTGCTGCAGCTGCTCCTGCAACTCGATCAGGCTCGTCTTCTTCCTCTCCCAGTGTGCAGAGAGCATAACCACCTCGCTGTCCACCAGCTGCAACATAAGCGAGAGGGCAAAGGGAAAACCCTTAGGTACAGAGGTAGTACAGTCAGTGGGGAGACTGGGTCCATGTGGGTTTTAACAATCCTCTGCTGAGTGCAGAAGTTGTTTTCCTTTTTAGAAAGAAACCCACATAATATTCAATACAGGAGATCTCAAATTATTGCTTGTATCAGTGCATCTTACCCCAGAGCTCAAAAATTACCTTAGAAATTACTAAGTATACCCTGTTTTTAAGAAAACCACTCATTAGAAAATCCAAACCTAGAAAAAAAATAAAACAAAAAACTACCAGTAACAATCAAGAGAAAATAAAAACAAATCCAAAACCTAATTAACAAGCAATTCTTTGCTTTACAAAAGGAATTCTTAGAAAATTCTTTAGTGCATTTCGAGTATACTATGGTGAATTTACATTTAAATAGGAACACTTCTCACGTAAAGGTAAATAGTTCTGTACATTAAAGAATCACCGGAAAAATGGTCAATTCCAGAAAAAGAAAAGAATTAAGTTAACAAAGGAGGAACTGAGATGTAAAAAGTCATAATAACAGGGTTGAGAGATGCCAGGCTAGCCCAAGATAATTCTTACTTCTTTTCCTGAAGACTAAAGAAAATAACAGTTACCAGTTTCTCCCAAACAATTTCAGTGTCAATGTGATGGAAGAGGAAAGGACCTAGAACAAGATGTAGAAGGAGCAGGAGAGGTCGTGGACCAACAATAAGGAAGAATTATGAGACACACCCAAATCCTATACAACAAAAATAAATGTTGCAAAATCCATTGTTTAAAGGTGAAAATACATTTGAGTTTTATATGCAAAATCACTGAGTTCACAGTTAAAAAGGAAAAGACAATTTACACTTTACAAGAATAAGATTCTTTAAGAGTTAATATCTGAATACAACTGACTCTAAATATCAATAAAATAGGAAAGAAATGTAGAAAAATGAGTATATCAAAATAAGATGAGAAGTTATTTGTATGTGGTGTTATGTTTTGTTCTTGTATTTTAATACAGTAGGAATCCACAAGTGGAATAAAGAACCGAGCTATAACATAAATCCTGTTTTTCACACAGCACCGAAGGATAAACATATGATCTCTCATGTTCAGGCCCCACCTGACATTGGACTTTACACGAAGCACTTCTTTTTTTTTTCTGAGATGGGGTCTTGCTGTGTTTTCCAGGCTGGCTTTAAACTCCTGAGTTCAGCTGAGTGTGGTGGCACAGGAGGTATGTGCTAGAGGCAGGAGGATCTCAGAGAGTCGAAGGCCAGCCTGGGCTACAAAGCAAGACCCTGTCTCAAAAAAACCAAAACCAATTTGTGGGCTCAAATGATCCACATGCCTCAGCCTCCCGAGCACCTGGGACCACAGATGTGTGCACCCCTGTGCCCAGCTTCATTAGCACTGTGTACTTCAAGGTGCCTGCAGTCAACAAGTCTTTATAAAAATTTCTGGAAGTAGCTTTAAAAATACCGATTGTGCTCATAGATACAGCTGTGATGCAGGGAGGCCATAATGCTTTGAAAAAAGGATCTCAATCCACAACTCACTTCTGACATTCAACCAGTGTCTTTAGAATAGCTTAATATATTTAACCTGGTGCACGGCTTATCTTTTAGAAAGCATGTTAAATATTCCTCTGGTTAATTAGGCAATACCTGAAAAATCTTGAATAAATAATTCTTAGATATTAACCATTTCTTAATAAAAATTAAAGTACAACATATTTAAGTATTAAGACTGAATATGGGTAGGGGTTTAGCTCAGTGGTGGAACGCTTGCTCCACATGGGAGAGGCCCTTGGTCGACAATCCCTGCCACTACAAAATATATTTTAGTATATGTACTGCCACAGCGAGCACCCTGCCACTACAAAATAAAGCAAGCTCAATGACTGTACTTTCCACAAAACTGAAAATTACATTCTGAAATATTTAAAAGAATGAGTTGAGTGGACTGTTTAAAATAATGATCGATAATTATACAATAATCCACATTTTGATTATTTTTGTACGTGCCAGGTTTTTGTATTTTTTTATGTGCCAGGTTTCACAAAAACTGCTAAGCAATTTGCACATATTACCTCATTTAAACCACACAACAGCCCTGTAAACCAACATTACCCTTTCTCATTTACGAATGAAAAGACAGATGTAATGAAGTTAAATCACCCTAAGGACAACAGTAGACCTAGATTCAATTCCAGAGAATTGGACAATAAGCCCATTCCTTTAATACTAGGAGTTGTGCTGCAGGGGTATATAAAAGGAAGAAAACTGACAATCTAGCAAAAGAAAGCATTCTGAAACTTTACTGTTACCTATTTTATAACTTTTTAATTTAATAATAAGAAATAATCTATCTCCAGAAGTTCAATTTCTTTTTTACCTCTAAGTAAACAGCTCTAAATAAATCCAGCTTCAATACCAGAAGAACAAATTTAAGCAACAAGACAAAGGCAAAGTATTTCATTCCTAAATTCCTTCTAGTGCAGAGGTTAGGAGAAAGCAGCAGCAGGAGCAGCCAGGAATATCAACACTTAACAACATGGACAATACTAGCATCTTACTGTGTATGTTATGTTTCGATCTTAACTGTTCCCCAAATGCCTACATGTTAAAGGCCTGGTCCTCATCCTACAGTGCTACTGGGAAATGGGGGAGCCTTTAGGAGGTGGGGCCTACTTGCAGGAAGTCAGGCTAAGGGGTGGGGGTGCCCCTGAAGAGGGTATTAGAACCCTAGCCTTTCCCTCCCTCTTTGATACTCAAGGTTAATCCCAGGGGCTTTGACTGAACTACATCCCTAGTTCTTTTTTTATTTCAAGACAGGGTCTCATGAAGTCGCCCAGGCTGGGCTTCACCTTGCAATCTTCCCTCCTCAGTCTCCCAGAGTGCTGGGACTGCAGGTTTGACCACCATGCCTGCCAGTCTCTCTCTCTCTTTTGTGTCTCAGATGCCAGGAGATGAACAGACCTCCATTGCCACATGCTTCCCCCCATGTACTGCCCAAGGCAACCAGACAAGGCAGCCATGGAGTGAAACCTCTAAATCCCTGAATCAAAATGAATCCTTCCTCCTTATAAATTATCTCAGATATTTTGTTACAGCAATGAAAATCTAACACAGTATAAAACTCCACAGTTCAGAACTTGGGGGTTGTAGTTCAATTTATTTCTGAATAACTTCAGTCACCAGAATAAGCGGTGTTATTCCATGTTACAAATGACAAAACAGAGAGAAATGAAGTTATCTGTCACAAGATCAAAATATAATAGTGCAGAAAATATGAGAAAAGAGATTTCCAGCATCTACTTCAGTTCACTTTCCACCCTAGTCAGGGGACATCTGCCTGAAGACAGAGAAGTGAAAGAATCCTATTTAACTGGTTCATATGTCAAACTGTTAGACTTGAGAGTTCATTTTGAAGACAAGTATTTTGCAATACTAGGAATTAAAAGGAAACACTAGAAGTCTATCTTCAGAAAACTGTCCTTAGAAGTCTAACCTCTGAGTCATTATTCATTTGTAGGTTAAGTGAGAAAAAGAATTAAAGAGATCAAAAAAGTTTAGGCAAGGCCTAGGCAACAACATTACCATTTGTTTTATAAGATACTGTCTCAATTCTTTTTTTCTTTTTCTTTTTCTTTTGCTGGTGGTGGTAGGGAGAACTCATGACTTTAATGCTTGCCAGGCAGGCGCAGTGCCACTGAGCTACAACCTCAGCCTGATACTGTCTCAATTCTAAGACTCCAAAATAAGAATTTGCTTTAAAGGGCACTAGCTCTTTAAAGTATATTTGCCTGGGAAGCAAATAAATTAAACAATGCATTTATGTTAATACATTAATAAAGAATGTATAACACATATACCTAGTCTGTATGTTTTCCATAGCTTCATCATGTAGCATGAGCATATCCAGTGTGCCTTACTGCTAGAAACCAACACTCCCCTTTGCAGTTATTTCTAAGAAAAATGCTAGCGTCTAAATGTCATCATATATATTCCTGTGCCCTACACAACTATTACAGCTTCCACTAATTTAGGCAGATGGTAAACAAAGTCTAAATTAACTAAAGAATCATAAAAATGTCTAAATGAAATGGATTTTGATTAACATCAAAAGTACAGAATATTTGATCTTGGGTAATAAAGCTGGAGGTGTGTCCGCTTGAAGATGACAGCTACTAGGTAGTGTTCTGATTTGGGATAACAAAATTGATCAAAGTTTGACTGTGGTTATAGCTGTACAACTCTGTCAATGTGCTAAGATCTACTGAATTTTACATTTTAAGTAATTGTGTAGTATCCAAAATTTTAGTTTAATATTTTTTAAATAATGCTTAAGTGTGTGTACTAAACAATTTTCATTACAAGTTTCTTTTATTTATTATATACTCTATAGGGCCAGGGATTTAGCTCAGCGGTTTGGTGGCCCGCCTTGCAAGTGCAAAGACCTGAGTTCAATCCCCGGTACCAAAAAAAAAAAAAACCCAAAAATTATACACTCTATATACATTACCCCAAAAGTTTGTCTTCTAAATGAACTGAGCATTCAAGTCACTAAAATGTTTAATTTTTGCTAAGCAAATTAAGGATTATAGGTATACTAAGGGAGGCCAAGATTTTGTCCAACTAATAAGCAATTTTAGGGCCAGGTATGGAGGTGCATACCTAAAAGCCCAGCATTCTTAGAGGCAGAGGCAGTCTGATCAGAATTTCAGGTAAGCCTAGCCTACTGATTTAGGAAAACCCAGTCTCAAAATTTAAAAATAAAAAAAGGGAAAGGGAGGCAACCCAGTGCTAAAGACCCTGGGTTCAATCCTCAGTACCACCAACACAACAAAAAAGGAATTCTTAAAGAGTAGGCAGAATGGGATTACATCTTATAATTTACATATACTGCAAAGTCACCAAAACAAAACATTTTACCTAGATGAATCAAATATTTACCAGAATAAATTATGAACACTCCAGCCCAATTAAACTACATTATTCAACTGGGAAACTGTACAAAGTGTGCTTTATTCAAGGAGTTTCACAATCAACTACAAAATTCTAGATATCCTGTACACTTCTAAAGGACTAGCTAGCATTTAACATTCCAAAAGGAAATTCTATCACAGGCACAAGATTAGTTCACTGATTACCTCTCCAGCATTGGCACATTCTTTGGCTCTTCTGTGAAGTGCAGCCCAGGTATCTTCATACCTAAAAGAATCAAAAAATAAATCAAAATGAAAACATATTAAGAAAGAAGTATTATCTACAGTTGAATCTCACTAGCTGGTGGTGCTGCACGTCTGTAATCCCAGCAATCAGGAGGCTAAGGCAAGAGTACTGTTTCGAGTTAAAATCACAAATAAATGATAAAAGAAATGAAGAGACCATATTCATAAAGTGGTAATTCATTCACTGAATTACTGAACGTATTCTTCATTTATTAGTGGAACCAGTGGAAGAGTTTACAATATAGTTAAGAAAATAAATATGCACATGATTACCTTCTAAATAGGAATACGCTTTTTTTGGAGTGATACTGTACTAGGGACTGAACATGCTAGGCCAATACGCTGCCATGAGCCATATCCTCACTGCAGGAGACTAATTCTTCTTTTTTTTTTTTTTTCCAGGACCATAACAAGCCTCTATTATGGGGAGGGTCTGCTGGGCTATCTCTGAACAAAGGAGAAGACAATATGGCTGAGACAGGGAGCGCTACTTACAGGACTGGGATGGGGGTTATAGGAGCTGGGGTGGGGTGATGTAGTGGCTAGGGACTGGGGGAGCTTTTTGGGTTTTTTTTGGGGGGGTACCGGGGATCAAACTCAGGTCTTTGCATTTGTGAGGCAGGCGGCAGAACCACTGAGCCAAATCCAGGCTTTTGTTTTATGGTTATTGGGTGAAGGTCTCTTCTGGAGCTGCTTCAAGCTAACAAAGGGGCAAAGGTTGGAACTAAACCTAGATCTGGTGGGAGCAGCAGTAGATGGGGGCTTCTTCCCTCTGCCACAGTGGTCAATACCCCGTTAGGAGAGAATTCTTAACCTTGGTCTGGTACCCTGGTTAACAAGTTACAATTATAGGCCAGAGGGGAGGTGGCAGAGTGGGAAGCACCAGGAATATTCCCCAGCCTGGACCACAACAGCTCTGATAGAGCCTGCCAGATGAAACTGGAGTCTATTCAAGGCTTTCAATCTCTAGTGGAAGGCCTGGATGGAAAAAGGATATAGATTTTGGTCAATTTCAGTGCTTGGCACAGTAGCAGAACCTGTCCCCCTCACCTCCAACCCCAGGGCAGACAGCCATGCTCTGGTTCCCAAAGCAACTTCCAAGTAGCTTGTGGGGGCCAGGGATGCAGCTCAGCGGCACCGGACCTGCCTGGCAAGCAAAAGATCCAAAATTCAATCCCTGGTACCAAAGGTGGGGCGGGTGAACCAAATAGCTTGTGGGAGCCAAGGTTGACAATAAAGAGTCTCTCCTTTAATCACTGGGGATCTGTGCCCTAATCACTCATTGCTTCCTCTGATCAGAGAGATGCAGACACACTGGCAGCTGCTGTTATAAATCCCTCTCCTTCCTGCTAAAGAGACTTACGATGGATTTAAAAGACCAGTGCATGGTTTTGTCCCCCTTCATGTTTCTCTTTCTCCTGTTTTGGAGACAGACATTTAAAAATTAGGACATTCAAAAGCATTCACATATATGGGGGAATCTAGAAAGTCATCACCCAAGTCCAGTGAAAGGAACATGGTTAGGAAGGACTGAGGAAATCCCAGCTTTACACCTCAAGGTGAACAACAGCACAGAGACTGCTACAATCAGAAACCAATGTCAAACCTGGAAGGCGGGGTGGGATCTGCTCTCCAATGTGACTGTGGCTCATAATTCAAATGTCCAGTTAAAAAAATCACAAGGCAGGCAAAAAACAGGACAGCATGGTCCTTTCAAAGGAAAAAATGAACGGATAAAAAACATTCCTGAACTAGATGGTGAGTTTACTAAAAATTTTAAAACAACAGGGATGGAAGTATAACTCAGTAGTAGAGCGCCTGCATAGCATGCATTAGACCCAGTACTGGGGGAAAAACACTGCAACTGAAATGAAAATTACTAGAGAGATTTGATCAGGCAGAAGAATTAGCATGGTTGAAGATGGGACAACTGACATTGTTTGAGGAACAGAAAGAAAAGAACTTGAAGAAAATGAACAGAGCTTAAGGGGTCACTATCAACAGGAACAGATTTGCAGCAAGGAGTCCCATGCAGAAAAGCAATCGTGGAAAACTGCATAGCAGCTCCTCAAAAAACTAAAACTGAACTACCCTATTATCCAGCAACTCAAGATTCTGGATATAATCCCCAAAGAACTGAAAGTGGGGTCTCAAAAAGACACATATGCACATGTGTTCATAGCAGCATTATTCACAATAGCCAAAAAACAGAGGCAACCTGTGACAACTGACGAACAAATGGAAAAGCACAATGTGATGTATACACCAATGGGATATTACTCAGTCTGAGCAAGGAAGGAAATCTGGACACATGCAACAACATGGATAAACCCTGAAAGCATCATGCTTAGTGAAATAAGCCAGTCAGAGAAAAGCAAAATACAGTACTATAAGATTTCTCCTCTCTGAGGTCTAGAGTAGTCAGATTCAGAGAGAAAGCAGAATGATGGTTAACAAAGCCTTGAGGGAAAGAGGGAATGAAGAAGTAGTAGTGGGCATTGCTTCAGTTTTACCAGCTGAAAAGATTTTTGAGTGTTGCATATACAACAGTATGAAATATACTTAACACTATTAAAATTACGCTTAAAAATGGTTAAGATAGTAAATTTTATGTTATTTGCATTTTACTAGAATTTTCAAAATTAAAAAATATATGATCTAGATAGTCACTATTTAAAATGGTTTCCCTCTCACCTAATATTAGCTCCACTGGGAAAAAAATCATTTCATGCAATTTATGCACATATTGTAGCCACTTTCCTATAGTTGTAAATTTTTCATACTGTCATAAAATGCATCCCTATGCTGAAAGATTATTACACATGAGCCTACACCTCCAAAACAAATCTTTCAATGAAATTAACTTCATTCCAGCTGTCACTAGAGAAAATAAAGAAATAAAATAGAAACATACAGTATAGCAATGGTTTTTACTACTGTTCCTTTCATTTTTCACTTATGTTCTTTACCTAACCAAGCAGGAAACTACTGATAAATACACTTTCATTTCAAAGAAGAAAAACCTCTAGACTTGACAATCGTAAAAAGAAATCCAAATAAGAACTAGAAAAGGGAAAATGCAGATGGCGGTCACTGTGTATAAATGAATACAGATAAAAGCAACTATCTCCGGATGCACACCTTTGTTAGCTGGTATATTACAAACGCAGCTCCACGTAGCAACATACTTTAACCATATACTCATTTTTCATCATTGGTATAAATTAGATACCACAAAAGTCACTCTTTTAATGTATCTAATTCAACAGTTTGTAGTATAACTACAAACTTGTAAAACTATCATACTATCTCAGTCCATAACACTTTCATCATCCAAAAAGAAACCTGTATCTCTTATAGCAGTCACTACCCTCCAAATCCCGGTAACTAATAATCTACTCCCTTCTCTCTACAGGTTTGTCTCTCTGGACATTTCATATAAATGGAATCATATGTGACCTTTGGTGGTGGCTCCTTTCATGTTTTAAAGTTTCATCCACTACACAGATACACATTGTGTTTATTAGTTGATGGACACTTAAGTTCTACTTTTCAGCTATTATGAGTATAACCATGAACAATTAGGTACAAGTTTTACATGGAGAGATATATATAGATCTATATCTAGATCTATATCTAGAGATATCTAGATATAGATCTAGATATAGATATACATCTTTTTAAATACTGGGGATCGAACTCTGGATCTTGTGCTTGCAAGGAAGGTGGTGGAACCACTGAGCTAAATCCCCAGCCCAGATATGTTTTTAATTCTCTTGGGTCACATGATAATTTTACATCTAACTTTTTTTCTTGGTTTGAGACTGGATCTCACTATGTAGGCAAGGCTGATTTCAAACTTTAGCTCCTCCTGCCTCAGCCTCCCAAATGCCAGGATTATAGGCACACACCACCACATCCAGCTATACCTAACTGAGAAACTACTGTTTTCCAGAGTGGTTACACCATTGCACATGTGCTAGAAAGTGTGTATATCTTGTTTTTTGTCTGTTTTTGAGACAGGGTCTTGCTACACAGCTCAGGCTGGCTTTAAACTCCCTATGTAGCCTAGGCTGGCCTCCAACTCACAACTATCCTCCTCCCGAGTGGTGGGATTACAAGCATGCACCACCATGCCTGGTTCTGTGTTAATGTGTATAAATGCCTATTTAAATATTTTGTCCAATTCTTCACTAGGTTGCCCCTCACAAAGGCTGAGGACTGAACCCCCGAGTACTGAGCTACATTCTTGGCCCCTTTAAACTGCCCAGGCTACACTCTAACTTGTGAGTCTCTTGCCTCAGCCTATCAGAGTACTGAAATTAAAGACTTACACCACCATACCCGGCTACTGGGTGGTCTTTTTATTATTGAGTTCCAAAAGTTTTCTATGTATTCTGGATAAAGCCCTTTCTCAGATATATGACCTGCAATATTTTCTCCCATTCTGTGGTGGCTGTTTCATCTTCTTGATGGTACTTTTGTTTTTGTTCCAGACAGGGTCTTGAGATGTACTTCAGGTTGGTCTTGAACTCACTATGTAGCTCAGGATGGCCTCAAACTCTCACCCATCCTCCTGCCTTGGCCTCCAGAGTGCTGGGATTATAGACTTGTGCTACTATGCCTAGCCTTGATTATGTTCTTTGAAGCACAATAGTGTTTAATTTTTGTCATCATCTAATTTATCTGTGTATTTCTATTTATGCTTTTGGTATCATGTCTAAGAAAACTATATCTTCTAATATTAATGCAACAACAGGAAGGAATTAGAAAATAACTGGTAGAAAATTAAGAGTCAAAGTAAGAAAACCAATTATTGAGAACTCAAGTTCAATTTTCTTGCAAAGATATATATATAATAAATACATAAAGTACCAACTACTAAGTGCAATAATGATGTACCTGTCTAAAGTCTGAATGGTCTTGGTACTGACCAGTGAAAAGAAAAAAAATAAACAATTTCTAATCACTACAGCAAGGTAAAATTTGGGTATTGTAATTTTTTTTTTTTTTTTTTTTTGTACCAGGGATTGAACTCGGGTCCATGCGCTTGTGAGGCAGGTGGTGGAACCACTGAGCTAAAAATCCCTGGCTATAATCTTTAAAATTATAAAATATTTTTAGACATGTTAGAAGTGTAACTTGCTTTCTAAAGGAAAACACTTACCTGCTAAGTAATTCTAGTCCAGCAGAGTACTTTGGTAGATATGGAACAGTCCTGCCAAAAGAAAGACTTATTTTATTAAAACTGTTTCTAATTTAGCTAACTTAAAAAAAATTACATATAAAAATTCTGTCATTGGCAATTCTAAGATATTTTAAAACAACTTATGACAGTTTATCTCAACTTTTAGAAAAATGTATTATTTCTTTTTTTTTTTTTCCCTCATTGAGTTTATTGGTACATTTTAGGTATACAGTACAGTTACATTCATCATTGGGCTCTTGTACCTTTACATGACAGGTCTTGGTTCTCATTTTTCCCCTTTATCCCTGCCCTCCCATCACCCACTCCTCCCTTCCATACTTACCAATACTTTATTTCCATTTTCTCATTTTTTTTCTTTTCCCTTATTACCATTCCCCTATCCTTCCTACTTCCCTTACACCTTTAGGCCTTTTCTTCCTATTTCATTTTCAATTATATCATTAGGATCTTATGTACCAGTATAGTTTTTCACACCAGAGGAAATATTTGGTATTTATACATGTAGAAAAATGTATTATTTCTGAGTTAATGTTTTTGGGTTTTTTTGTTTGTTTGTTTTTTGGGGGTTTTTTTGTACTGGGGATTGAACTCGGGTCCTTGTGCTTGCAAGGCAGGCAGCAGAACCACTGAGCTAAATCCCCAGCCCTATTTCTGAGTTAAGGTATTGCAGTATTTCAATTGTCCCTTTGTCCTTCAGACTTCTGAGTACACAACAATACAAGAAGCAGTTCAGCACCATGCTGGATCAAGAGAATAAGTTTGCAGGATCAAGGTGCACCATCTCTGGGTTGGAAGTGAAATTTGGTCACACACTTTGCTTTCCAAAAAAAAAAAACTGGAAAAAACACATTATTCTAGCATTTTCATAATAAAACAGGAGGCACAGCTCATGAAACTCACTTGCCAAGTCAAGTTTCATTATTCATCTGCTTCTCAATAATGCAGGCCTTCTACACTGGTCTCAACATACAAATTTCAAGAATTAACTGAGATCAAAACAACAGGTATCTGTTGTCTAAAAGACAATACACTTCATGACTTTTTCAGCCAGTTCACAATTCTATCAAAAAATTTTCCTGTGTTACAAATTTAGAATCAACAAATTATTTTGTAGTCAGATGTACTGTACTCAACTGATCTAAAACCTATAAAGTAGTTTTATAATAACAAATACAACCAAAACTCATATGCAATTCAATTTATGTTACATCAAAATCTTAGCATGAGCTTACCTGGGTTTGCTTTTGACTTTCACTTCTCTGGACTTGTCACTTAAAGTCTTTAGCCTGTAATTCAACAAGCATAAAATGTATTTTTACAGGTCAGGAGATGCTCAACCACGAGTTTTCACAGGGTTACAATTCTAGGTGGCATAAGCTAATTTTTTAAAAGCAGAATTAAGCACCTCTAAGGCAACAAACATCTGAGTGTTTACTATATCAGGCACCATAAGTGGAAAATTGGTAGTAATTTTTATTTTTACTTTTCCAAAATCTCTTAAGAAACAATTGCTAATTTTCAGTAGGGTAAAAAAACAAAACGAAACCAAACTTTATTGATGCTACGGTTCAAATTCAGATGTCGTCCCAAAACCTCACTTGCTCACAGGTGGGGCTGTTTCACAAGTGCCTGGATCTAGTATGTGTGATGCTGGAACTGATACATGGCGCAATACTAGGATCGAGGGCACTAGGACTAAGGGTGTGAGCGCTACCTGCCCGCAGAAGCCTGGATGATATAAGGGATAGAAAGAGCTGTGGACGACCCTTGCTGCTTTGTTACCTTGTGTCCTCCATGAAATGTTTCTCCTCAGATGCCTGTCTGCCGTGCCACCTGCCTTGGAGTCAGCCAACTATGAACTGCAACCTCTACAAACTGGAAACTAAATAAACCTTTTCTCCTTTAACTTTCGGTGTCAGTGTTTTGGATTTTTTTTTTTTTTTTGTCTCAGCAATGAGAAAAGTAACTAAGACAATCTGACATCCATTAGAAAGTGGTTCACATAAGTGAACTTGAGAGTTAACAAAGATAAATATACAAAAATAAAGTGGCATACCTTACTAAGTACATACTATCCTAGGCACTCAAATATCTTCAAGCACCTACATTATTAAAACTTTAATTAAAAAAGAGCTTCTTAAAATACACTGCAAAATTTTCCCATTAAAAGGATCTGGTGTGGCCCATCTAGCATTTTCTGATAACCCTTGGACGTTATTACAAACACCCAGCTGCACCTTGCTTTGCAGCCAGACAGAACTTTCCTCAGGTACTTTGACCTGCAATTTCATTTTCTAACCTGAAACCAATCTCTGGTGGGTTTGTGTTTATTTGGGCGCTTTTGTCTATTGCTTCTAAATTTCCTGTTTTGCTATTGGTCAGCTGGCCATCATAACCACATCCTGCTTCTGCTAGCTATTTGCTATACCATTCTCCTTCCCTTCTATATGCCGTTTTTAAATGTCCAGAAAACAAACTGGTTACAACTACACACATAAAACTCGCAGGTCAAACATAAAGTATGATGTTCACAGACTAATTTGTCTTCCCTGGCCCAGTTTTCCATTGACTGTAAACTCTTCAGATAACAGAGCTTGCCAATAAGTGAATGAGAATGAGAGATTATGAGACAATCTCAAAAAATGAGATAATGGTGTACGTGCTCTTTTAAATTAATTCAACAGGGCCAAGGATTTAGCTCAATGGCACCGAGCCTGCCTTGCAAGTGCAAGGTCCTGAGTTCAATCCGTGGTACCAAAATCAAACAATCAACAAATACCCATATCTATAGAGATGGCGCTCCTTCCTCAAAACACTTTACTTCCATCAGCCAGAACCTGTTCTAAGCTACAAGCTTACTCCTGAATGAATGCCTCACCCCTGCACTGTACAGTGTCATCTGCACAACCACACGTGCACAACCTGCTACAAGATTCTATCTTTTTTGTCAATAATGCCTAACCAAGCACAAGGGGATTTCTGACCAAATATTTTGCTTAACCAAATTGGAATTCTGATTCTGAAAAAGAATTTTATAAAATATTGATGAGATGAATTTCTCTACAATGCTCTAAAGAGTCAGCAATTCTTGAACAGAAAACAAAATTTGCATATCTCTAGATGAGTCTAAGCAAGAATATAAAACAACTCAGCCAGGGCCGGGGATTTAGCTCAGTGGTTTGGGCGCCTGCCTTGCAAGCATGAGATCCTGAGTTCAATCCCCAGTACCAAGGGCCAAAAACAAAACAAAACAAAAACTCATCCATACCAAGAGAAACAATTTCCAAGCTTATCATGGAACTAGTAAGTCCAGTTTAAATAACAATTAAACAAAAGCTAGAGAAAGCTAATTCTACAGCCATACTCTACAATTTCTACTCCAAAATCTGAGAAAGAAATTCAGTCGTACAAGTCAGGTAGGACCTTCCCAGGACAGTTAGACACAGCAGTGCATCATACCCAAAGTGCTTCTGGGATTTAGTGCTTTGAAACAGCGCTACTCAGGTGTGAAAGGGAACTGCTAGAATCCTTTTTGGACCACTCTTACAGCACCTAGTGAATCTCTAGGTTGGCATTTCAAATACGTATTTCTAAAATAAACCTGTGATTTCTCAATTGTAACAGACCCAGTTTGGGACTCTCCCTCTTACCACCTCCCCAACAAAACAAAAGGAAAAAAAACAGTTTGGAATAATAGGGGAAAGGGTGTTACAGGAAGCTCAAAATAAACCTGCTAGAAGATTCAGTAAGAGTTCCCCATGTGGTTCTTTAACAACCATCTGTTTTAAAAATTTGGCTTTAACCACATGTAATGTGTGGAACTTATGTGAACAAGCCAGCTGTAAAAAGATATTTCAAAGAACTAAGAAAATCTGATTATGGACTGGATAATTGATAAAATCAAGGAATTAGTGTTAATTTTGTTAGCTATGATACTGGCATTGATGTAATAATTTTTCTTTTTCAGCAATGCAAGTGGATGTGCAAGAGGCCAAGTCTGAGGTTTACTTTATAAATTAAAGGAAAGACAAAATAAATGTGAGAATATCTGAAAATTGCTGTATCTAAGTAAGGGACACATGGGATTATGCTTTCGATTTTTGTGTATATTTGAAAAGTTTAAAAAATTTTAACAACCAAAAATAGTCTTTTGGACACTTCACACTGTACCTTCTCCAAATAAATTGTCAATGTGGTGAAATTCAGAAAAGAAATTATTGGAGAAAACATGGAAACAAGTTCAGGAGAGAAAAGGACACAGGGTTACAACCATCACTATTCTTATATTAAAATGAAAAAAAAATGAGGTTAAATATATTTTAAAATAAAGTTTAAAAAAACAGATCCTTAAAACCTATAAGTTAACTGAAAGTAGTCTACCAGTTTTAGTTTTAAGTATCTGGGGTTTTTTTTTTGGAGGGGGGGTACCGGGGATCTAACTAGGGACCTTATGCTTGCAAGGCAGGCTGCGGAACCACTGAGTTTAATACCTGGCCCCAAAGCTGCAAGTTGTTGTCGTCGCCGCCCCCCCCCCCTTACCAGGGATCAAACTCTACAAGGCAGACAGTAGAACCTGAGCTAACTTCCTGTCCCCTGCGGGGTTTTCTGAGATAGGATCTCGGTATGTAGGCCAGGCTGGCCTTGATCTTTCCTTGATCCTCTGTGCCTCAGCTTCCCCACTACAGTACTGGGATTACAGATGTGCACCACCTCATGAGACTCAATTCCTCTGAAATGTGTTCATGCTTCCATTATTTTAACTTTAAATTGTAAATCCAAATCCAATTATATTTTCCACATTAGTGTCTCTCAATCCTCTCTCATACACACCCCATTAAAAAGCAAAAGCATTAATCACAGGCAAAAGTGAAAATGACCCCTAAGCTCTAAAGCCTGAGAAATTTAGATGAAGTGCCCAAACTCAGAAAAGAGAAATTAGTCTCTTTACCATAATGAATCCCAAATACACCATTTCAAGTCTGACCTTTCTCCTGAATGCCTTCAATTTCCAACTGCTTTGATGTCAAGCAACAAATTCACTGTCAAACACGCCTTCTCCTTCAAACCCATGCTTACTGTTGTATATTGCTATACACCATCATTTATCTAAAATGCTCCAAAATCAACATTCTCAATTTTTGCACCTTCTTCATCTCCCAAGTCTCACTGATGACAAACTGGCCACTGCTTATCATGTTCTTTCCTCCTCTAAATCTGTCAGCACTGCCTCAGCATCTTTTACCCAGCCCACAGTTATGGCCTCATCTCCCTGTTCCCTGTCCCTAATCTTCTCATCCCTACCCCACAAGTTACACTTGAAGAAATACAGCAATACTTTTCCAGAAATACATGTAGGCCCCTCTCCCCTTAACCTGAATTTTAGCCACAGTACTTGCAATCTTCTAAGATACTCTCCTCCTGCCACTAGAATGAGCACAGAAACCTTAATGCTGTCTGGTTGTACTCTGCTAAATCCCCGGCACCTAGAACAGTGACTGCCACAAAACAAGCACTCAATAAATACTTAATCAATTACAGTAATTAAGCAAAGCATTAAAGATTCTCTATTATCAGGCAATGAATTCTTTTCCACCTCCATCTCTGAAATGGCCTTACCTAAATCTATCACAATCCCTCCTAATCCAAGGCCTGGTATAGAAGACACCTCTTCTGTGAAGCCTTGTTTAATTGCATCCAAATTAAGGACTCCCTCCTCTGGGCTCAGAGAGCCATACTACTGATGTCTTTAACATGCTCTTCCCTCTGCTCTGAGAAGTGTTTCAGTCAACATGGCAGCCCCAGGATCCAGTCCAATACACACCCACTGTGCAGTAAAGAGAAACTGAGCACAGCCTCTCAAACCTTTAAGTGTCTATGAAAAAGGACACTTTTGAGCACCTAATCTAATGACCGGTAACATAACTGCCCCAAAGGCAAAAACCAAAGACACAAGTGAATTTGAATTATGTACTTCCATATATTGTTTCCCTCAGAGCTCAATTCAATCCCTAAAAAAATGGAAGCTGTGTGTGAAACCTCCAAAGCTATCTAAGAACTGAGTCAAATCAAATGAGGACTCAATGAGGGGAAAGGTCTGTGTGTGAGGCCCAATATAAACACCTGCCAATCCCAGGGCCTTTGGGCTGGCCCACCATCCATTTTAGGGCAGAAAGAATGGGATACAACGCATTCTCAGTACTAAATTTGTCTCAGTATTCACATAATTGTTACTATGAATAAAAATTTATATAAAGTCTGCAATGAGCTGGGGACATAGTTTAGTGATAGAGTGCTTCTTACATGTGTGAAGGCCTGGATTCAATCCCCAGCACTGCAACAAGGTCACATGTCCATGGAGAAGCTCAGGTGCCCCTAGACCATTAATAATCTATTTAAGAATCACAAATTTTCTAAGTTTGAAGGCAATGTAGAAAGTTACTGCATTCCCTGGGCTATTTTAACCACTAATGAGACACTGTTATGATGCTGATAAGGAATAGGCCTGTTTCACTTGGAAAGAAGACAGAGAGAGAGAAGGCAAAGTGGGTTGGTCGTCTTCCTGGAATTAAGCTCTGGATACAAGAATTTTCAGAAACTGAAAATGAGTGAAACATCAAGAAGACAACGTTGCTCTGTGCAGTTGTAGGAGCAAAAGCAGCCATGCTGTAGATACCCAGAAAATCACAAGGCCATTGATCAACTCCTGGGGAACCTGAACACTGTAAAACTATATTAGAAGGCATCCATGCTGGCTACAGAACACTCGTTTTGCCACAGTCCTACAGGAACACCAGGTCCAATGTGATAGTTACGGAAGGTTACTGCCTCAGTACCTCTATTACACACATGTGCTGTGTTTAATTTCATCTTTCCTTGGCAAGGCAAAAAATATTCAAGTGTGTAACGGGCTCATCTCAGCTGAACATGGAAGCATTTATTAAAATGGATTGTTTTCCCTTAGAATCATGTAGGAAACTGAGGACCGAAGTGAACTATCAATTAGAAAAGAGACATCACTTGGAGAGTTCTATCCCTGCCAGATCACACACCGCCAGTCTGCTGGTTTGTCAGCTGAAAGTGACCCGTGCAAAGAGGACAGCTCTGACCAGAGCCCCTCAGCCCCCTCCCTAAGCAAACCCTAAACCTTTAGGGCTATCCAGAACTCCCAGGATGGTCTAGGCCTGGGCAGTCCAGAGTTCACATTCCCAGACATGTTGCCCAGGCTGTCCTGACTTGCCATCCTCCTGCCTCAGCCTTCCCCAGAGCAGGAATTAAAGGCATGCGCAACCACATCCAGATGCTTTATATGTGGTAAGCGCTGAAGCATTTGTCGGTTTGCTTCTATTTAATAGGCAAGTGATATAAACACTTCTTTTCTGAAGTAAAAAGTTTAACATCTTTCCAGTGATGAATTTAAAACAGCATGAAGGAGCCACCCTCACTGTCCCAAAGGATTTGTAAACTAAAGGTGACAGATCCCTTACAAAGGTGACACCTTTCTAAAGTAACGAAAAAAATTGAGCGTTAGTAACAGTAGTGACCAAGTGCTCACTGCCCATTTTCCACGTTCACTCATCCATCCTCTCCACAACTCCTTCAGGACCAGCATTAACCCCATTTATTGGCGGCAAAAACTGTGCAATGAAGACCGAGTAACTGAAAGTAGCAGAGCCTGCACGAACAGCGGGGCAGTCTGGTGCTCGGTCTTGTTCCCCAACTTGGCCGCACATTGGAATCACCTGGGGATCTTGACTCCACGCCTGGACACACTCGTTTCTGAGTCATCCCGGGGGACCTGGGGACGGCGAAAGGCTAAGGCTGGGAAGCGCCTGGTCACCGGGCGTTCAGGACATTGCCACGGTTCCGCCCCCGAGGCGCATTTCTAGGGCAAAGGCAGAGAGGCCGAGGGGACGCGGGAAGCCTCGCCAGGTTAGGCCGTCAACGCCCGGCACCCAGGGATCCCGAGCCAGCAGACGCCCCAGGGCGCTGGAGGAACGCGGCGGCGGAGCCAGGGTCGCACGG